AACCAAGAAGGTCTCCGTCACGCCACTTTATCCCACACTCTAAATGAAAAGAGATTTTTACTCGCCTTTTGATATCTATCGAGCAGAAGCTGAGCTCTTTTCTTCCTGTCATCTTGCTCACAATCACTACTAATGATTTGTTTGAGTCTTTTTATGTAAGAATCAATTTTTGCTTCAAACGGCTCTAGCTCGCTTTCGTTTAGAAATTCAGTAATGCTCCATTTCATAGGATCTCGGCTGAAGTAATCAGACCTTTCAGACATTAGTAAAAGTATATACTTGTTAAAAAATAATACGCGTTTTGTTATTGTCCGGAGCAAAGCGAAGGACTACCCCAGCAGCCTCAGAAAAATTTTCTCAATTAACCAATGAGCGGTCTGAAAATTTTGTGTAATGTGCAGATCGCTTGTGGAGCGTACTGATTTCCTAATTAGATTCGACTAGCCGTAATTTCTAAATAGGGATTTACATCCTCATGACTTAGTTGAATTTTATCGATAGCAGAAATCGATAATAACTATCGCGAGGTGCTCGCTAAAGCCCAGTTTAAGCTGTTAAAAATCGATAATAACTATCGCGAGGAACTTTTATTCACAAAAAAATCGTGCGGGCATGTGATCACCGAGGCGGCGGTTTGCTCGGAAATCAGGTGTGTTATAACTACCCCAGTAGCAAATGGCAGGTCATGCGTCTGTTATTGTGACACAACTGTATTCTGACCAACGAAAAACTTTGCATTTCCCTATATAGACAAAGTTTACAAACACAACTTCCGAATTAGGATCAACGTCCCAATTTGGAAACGGAGAGGAACGTACTTAATAAAATATATACTAAGACATAGCCTTAAAAACGTTAAGCGGGAATATGTATATCGTTATGATCTATATAGTATAAATAATTCTTAATATCATCGAAAATTGGAAATTCTACTTGTATAACTAACTTCTTATGCATCTTTCAATTACGCTAATTAGTAGCATCATTGGAATTACAAAGAATTTGTCAAGGCAAGCTTTTTCGCTTCTGTTGTTCGTCAAGAAGTCTATCCGTTTTTGAGACATCCAAGTCTACAAGTTGAGGATGATTTGAGTTTTGAAACTAGCGATGCTAGAGGTAAGCACTTTTTGTTTAATTTTATTTTATATATTATTTCACGCTTACATATTAACATGTATACTATTGTAGAATCCACTTCTGTGCATATTTGGGACACTTTAGAAGTAATAGACGATAACAATAATCAGGAGGAGCAAATGGCAGAAGAAGGGCGAAGAAATTTTGAGTTAATTGAACGGTATCTTAGAGAAATGCGCGAAATAGTTGTTGAACAGCGTAATTTAAATAATTTTCGATGGATTAACAATATTAAAAATAAGTTTAATACCTTATTTGGGATTGTAGATGACATAAACCGATATAATAGACGTATAACAAATCCTACAACATGGAGAGAT